GGGCTAGGAGCCGGGGGAGGTCCTCGGTCCCCGCTCCTGCATTTGTACGGGCGCTGGGAGCTGACCTGAGGCCGGTTTGTCTCAGCCTAGGTCGCGGAAGAATTTACTCCCTGGGATTTAGATAAGGTGGAAGAGTCGGATGGAGTGCGGCCAGCCGGCCTGCAGAGTGGTGAGCCCGTGGCCGGGATGACCACCTTGTGAGATGTGACCTTCTCAGTCTCTGGTGTCTTGGAAGAAGCTGCCTTCTTTTCCCAGGGTGGAATCATGCATTTTGGAGTCAGAGACTAAGTCACCCGGTCTCTCAAAACTTTAGTTTATTTATATCTAAAATGGTAGTGTACTAGTATCCGCACCCCCTGCCTGCCCGTCACTTCACTTCAGACATAACGTAATGTGTGCGAACTGTTAGGCAGCTCCTTGTGATTAGTGTAATTATTATGTACTGCAAACATGTACAAAAAAATAAATATTGTATACCTAAAATGTACCAATAAAACTAATTTTTAAAAAATAAAAACATTTTTAAAGTGCTTAGGCACACAGCGGGCCTGAAGGAAGGGGGAGGGCAGGACAAAAATAGCATGCGTTGCCATTAAGAAACAAAAATGTCAGCAACTGGTCCTGTTGACCTACACCTGTAATCCCAGCTCTGGAGAGGCTGAGGCAGAAGGATCATGGCGAGTCTGAGGGCAGCTTGGGCTATTTAAATGAGTTCAAAATCAGCCTGAAATATATAGTGAGACCCCCGTCTTCAAAAACAAAAGAGACCGGCAGGGCATGGTGGTGCACGCCTGTAATCCCAGCACTTGGGAGGCTGAGGCAGGAGGATCGCTGTGAGTTTGAGACCAGCCTGAGCTACATAGTGAGTTCCAGGTCAGTCTCAACTATACAGTGAGACCGTCTCAAAAAACCAAAAAAAAAAAAAAAAGTGAAGGGCCGGAGATGTAACTCAGCAATTCTGTGACCTGCCTTGCAAGCACAACAACCCCAGTTCAATCCTGGTACCAAAAAAACTAAAAACAAAAGTGAAGGCCAGTGCCTGTCTCTCCAGCACAGTCCTGAGTTTGATCCTCCATAACCCCCCCCAAAAAAAGCTATATAGTACATTTATAATCATTTGTTAGGTCTCAGACCTAAAGCTATCCCACAGAGCACAATGACATTTTAAAGTTACCCAGTAGTGATCACAGGATTTCTGATACTTGGCCATCTAGTTACAAATAAGGCATAGGGGATTATTGGCTGCCATAACCTTCAGCTCAATGGTATCAGAAAGTGAATTGTTTAAAGATCCTTTTGACTTGGGCTGGGACCTAATTTAAATTAAGATCTTCCATAGGTTTCTTACATGATTAAATTCCCTGAGGAAACACTGACCATCCAAGAAGGCCAAGAAGACATTTTGCACTTCCAAAGTAACTTCTAAGTAAAATGTCAATAAACATCACAATTACTGAACCCCACGATTGACTTTGGTGTATATAAAAAGGTGTCCAAACTTACACTCTGTGCAAGTGCCTTCACGATACTGCCGGCCTCCTTTTCCCTTGAAGGTGTAACTTGACTTTATACTTCTACCTGTACTTCTGCACAGTCACCTCTGTGTCTTCACTGAATTTTCATCAAAGGCACACAACTGAGAATGAAGGGAAGTCAGGGGCTGGTTCCTTCTTGTGTCAAGACCTGGCTTCCCCAGTGACAAAAGTACTTAACACAATTCCCTGCAAAATCTAGGTGCCATACACATAGCAGTTTACCACCATGCACTTCTAGCCTTCTTAGATGTAACAATTCATTTAATGTTCACAAGTGTAAGGCAGATTTATTATTGTCCTCATTGTGTAAGTTAAGAAACAGAGTCTAGGAATTTGTTCAAGCTCACACACGTTATAACCAAAACTTGAACTTAGGCAGTCCAGCTCCAGAGTTCTTATCCACAGAACCATACTGAGATTCAAGATTTGGCAGGGCCTAAAGCTTTTGTAAGTACCCCAGAGACTCTCCAACAGTAGAGACTTATTAATATTTATATAGAAAGAAAAAGCAGGACACACCCACTGGTAGAACCCCAGAGACTTAAGTCCCTATCTTCTGAAACCTCTAGGCAATTATTCAGGAACGTGTCCACAAAAATACTTCCTGGACATGTGAGAGGCCATGGGTACAATCCCCAGTGCTGAAAAACAAGAGTCCTTCCTTGAGCTAGGGGTGTGGCTCAGAGATAGAAGCACTAGCCTAGCGCAGCACAGCATGCCCAAGGCCCTGAGTTCATTCTCTAGAACCAAAGAAAGGAAAGTTGCTTCAGAAAGTGGGGATGAAGTTCAGTAGTATACCCCTTGCTGTAATGTGCAAGGTCCTAGGTTCAGCAGTGCAAAAGAAAAAAACAATTTGAAGGGAGAAATATTTTATATTGAAATCTGGCTTCTCCCAAATTAGAATACTGATTACAAGTCCCTCTTCCCAGTAGCTTTCAACACTCCCAGAGTGTGCAGATAAGACCTTCAAGATTACGCTTAGCTTCGTGGTAAATCTACCTCTGGTAATAACTATTACTATTTGGAGAAATGGAATAATTTTTTACTTTTTTTTTCTTTAGATAGTCTAACTGTATAGTCCAGGCTGGTCTTGAACTCACAGCAATCCTGCATCAACCTCCCAAGTGCTGGAATTACAGACATGCACCACTACAACCAGCACTTACTGATTTTCTAAATTAATTTTTTGAGATAATTCATATGCAGTTGTAAGAAATATACAGATCCTATGTGCCCTTTGCCCAGTTTCCCCTAATGGTAACATTTGCAAAAAATATAGTACAGTATTACTATCAGGATATTGAACAAGAATACAGTCAAGATACAGAACATTCCCATCCCTACAAGGATGCCTCCAGTTCTCCTATAGCCATACTCACCTCTCTCCCACCTCTACCCCTTCTGTAACCCTGGATAGCCAATCTGTTCTCCATTTCTAGTTATGTAATTTCGAGAACGTTAAAAATAAAAGACTGTTATATAACTGGGCTAGGCATATAGCTCAATAATAGATCCAGGTGCCTGCTATGCCTCTCTCGTCTCTCTTTTGGCAGTGGTGGTGCTGGTGGTACTGGAAATTAAACTCAGGGCCTTCACACTGAGGACAAACCCACCCCCTTTTTATTTTTTATTTTGAGACAATGTCTCACTAAATCAGTAAATTTCCAAGACTGGGTTCAAACTTGTTGTGATCCTCCTGCCTTGGCCTCAAGAGTGTTGGCACTACAGGCAGTGTGTTACCATGCCTGGTTTATACTCTGTAAATTCTAGATAGCCACCACCATGATTATAGTTCCAGCTACTTGGAAGGCTGAGACAGGGATTTAGGATCCCTTGAGCTCAAGAGTTCAAAAGCAGGCCAGGTGTGGTAGCGCACGCCTGTAATCCCAGCACTCTGGAGGCTGAGGCAGGAGGATCACTGTGAGGTACAGGCCTGCCTTGGGTACATAGTGAGTTCAAGGCCAGCCTGGATTACATAGCTAGACCTTGCCCAAAAACAAAGACAAAACCAAAAAAACCCTTTGAAACTGATGTAATCCCAGCATTTGGGAAACAGAGGCAGGAGAATGGCACAAGTTCAAGGCCAGCCTAGCCTACGAAGCGAATTCAAGGTCAGTCTGAACTGCATAGTGAGACCTGTCTCAAAAAAATAAATTAATGCCAGGGATTTAGCTCAGGGGTTCTGCCGCCTGCCTCTCAAGCGCAAGGACCTGAGTTCAAACCCCGGAACCAAAAATACAAAACAAAACCTAAATAAATAAATAAATAAAAGAGAGAGTCAGAGTTCAATCTGGGCAATAGAACAGTAAGACTGTCTCAAACTTTTTTTGTTTGTTTGGTTGGGCACAGTGGCACACACAGCTTAGGAGACCGAGGCAGGAGGGTAGCATGTCCCACCTGGACAATTTAAAAAAAAAGAGCTAGAGATGTAGCTAGGGTGAAGGCCCTGGGTTCAATTCCTTGTACTTGAAAAATTGTTTTTGCTTTTTTCCCTCAGCATAATTCTCCAGAGATCCTTCCTCCTTTAAATGCTGTGGAGTATCCCATGGTATGGATGCACCTCGGTTTATTTAACCATTCACGTGTTGAGGCCCATATCAGTTCTTTCCAGTTTGGACTATTATGCTAAAACTATTATGTTATAAACATTTGTGTGCAGATTTTTTGGTCCTTCTTGAATCCAGGGCCTTGCGCTTGTGAGACAGGTGAGCTCTGAGCTAAGTCCTCTGCCCTGTGTGCAGATATTTGTGTGAACATAAGCCTTCATCTCTCTGGGATACATGCCCAGTAGTGCAATTGCTGGGTTGTATGGTAATTGAATATTTACTTTTTTAAGAAAGTGGCTAAGCCACGTGTGGTGGCACACATCCATAATCCAAGCACATGGGCATCTGAGGCAGAGGAATCACAGTGAGTTCAGGGCCAACCTGAACTACAGAATGGGACCCTGTCTCAAAAAAGGCTAAGGGAAAGGATGGGGATATAGCTCAGTGGCTCCAGCTCCTACCTCACAAGCACGAGGGCCCGAGTTCCATCCCTGGTACCAAAAAAAAAAAAAAAAAAAGGCCAAGGGATATAGCCCAGGATGAAGAAAGTGGGTTCAATCTCCACCCCACCCCTCAAAAAAAAGAAAGAGAGAGAGAAAGGGAAAGTGAAAGAGAAAGAGGACAAATTACTTACTAGAATGGCAATACTATTTTTCATTCCCACCAGCAATATACGAGTAATATAGTTTCTCTCCTTCCTTATGGATTTAGTGTTACTA